TAATGCAACCATTAGCTAAATGTACTATCAATAAAATCCTGGGTCACAAGTACTCACCTTAATATTTAAAAAAAAAATAATTAATAAACTTACTAAATTGGAATGTTTTTGATAATAAAAAATTGTACGATTTTGTTGTATAAAAGGAATTTAAAAAAATTAAGCATAGATAGTAATTTAAAATAGTCCATGTAATATTGAGTATTATAAATTTACTTATCCGAACAGAGAAAACAAATGCTAATAATATTCTATGATCCTTTAAATTGTAATAATTTATAAAAATAAACAATATAGTTAATCATTTCTTATTGTAAATTTTATTAAAGAATTATGTGATTTAATCCTGAATTTGAATTGCACTAAAATTTGGAGAAAATTGTACAAAATCTAAGTTAATTTAAATAATAAATAAAAAATTATGAAAAAAATTTTTTATAATGCAACTTATGTAAATTTTGAAAGTAAGCACTGCCAAGACATACCTACCTTTGGCCTCAAAGTTTATAATTTATTAGACTAAAGTATATCAAATGTTATAGTAATAGGGTTCAACAAGAAACTAACCTACAAGCTGAAGTATAAATTTTTATTGAAAACACCTAATATTGTAAGTTCATTACCAATATGATGTTATAGCAATATAGCAATACGTTATTATGCATACTACAAAATTATGATCCAGTGCCATAATTGCTTTTTTTCCTAAAACTAATTTACAGGCAACTATACAATATTCCTTTTCTATAATAGACTATCAAAGAATTACAATGTTTAAATCATGTGCATGTCTGAAATCTACTCACTAAAAATACCCTTATAAAGTTCTTTTCATAGTATCTAGCTCTGTAATCATTGATTTTACCATTTCTGGTTTTGCGTGACAATATCATGTGGCTACTTATTATGGAAATGCAATTATGCATACCAATGATGTACATATGTACACATGTAAAAATTTTTCTTACAATTAAACCACATTTTTAGATTAGATTTTTAATTTTTTAGATAGATGTACCAACTTAAATTATATAATGAAACAACATTTTCTTACACTCAAATCATGCTCTTATATACAATCAATCATAAATGTTTAAATAGACAAACTCTGAATTAGATAGTAGATTGTTTGTACAATATGTACAACAATCTGATAAAAAAGGTAGAATGTACGACTATTTCTTACTAAAAAAAAAACTAAATTCATGGATATGTTTACTTTTACCAGAAAACCAATTTCACTTCCTACAATCAATGAAGTTAAAGGATATAAGAAAACAGATGATCTGATAATGTTTTTATATGAACAAGACTTAGAACTTAAGGATAAGCATTTCACATTTCTTCAAAATCAAGAACTTACGGGTCAGTGTTTCCTTAAGTTAAATATAGATACACTAATGCAAGATAGTTTAAAACGAGGACCAGCTGAAGAAATTGCAGAGTTTATTAATAAAATTAAGGGCGAAAAACAGGGTAAGTAGTACTACTACTGCATTCGAATATTCCAAACCTATACTGCTTTCTCTGCAATAATTTCATTTATTAACTCGTGTCTCATATTTATTATACAGATACTGATAAGTACTATAAATATTTTAGTTTTCTCATTTTATTATATTGTGATATCATTTATGAAATTTACAATTTTGTCTTTAGCCCCCTTATACTTTCAGTACCTTGATTCGGATGTTTGTATTAGTTCCAGTGCCTAGGAGAATATTATTCAACTGCATAAACATTTAAAAGTATTCTTCAATATTGAAGACCCATTAGTAAATTATGTGTTTATTATTGGGGATAAAGAAATGAATTTTTGTTGGTCAAAAATTCAAATTATCAACTTGCTTAAACAACAAAAATGTTCGATTGATAATCCAGTCAAGATATTTGATAAAAAAAAGGTATGTTATTCAGTTCACTAGCAAAATGAAAATAACCTGAATTAATGCAATCTTATCTTGATGCTTGTTACTACTTAGGAAAAGTGAATGAACTGTTAAGTAAGATGATTATGAATAGTATTATTTTATTAGTGATTTTTGGCAAGGTTTAATTATTTTTTGTACATTCTATAGAAGATTCATCATATCTTCCTAGAAGTAAAGAAGACGAAGAAATTGTATAGAAAGCTTTTAATAAAACTTTTCAAGATCTAAGTAACCTTTTGGAAAGGTTCATACAATTTATTGACAAGTGTCTAGATGATTATGAAATGATAAAAGATTATTATGTGCCATATACAACCTTGGTTCAAGCCAGTAGCACAGGAAAGTCCAAATTATTGATAAATGTTGCAAAAAAGATAATGACTGTATATTGTTGTCTGCAGGACTCCAGATCAAGTGGTTATCCATCCAGATTAGATATTTCCAACATACTAGTAAGTGATTTTATGAATGAACAAGAAGCCATAGTTATCTACCTTGCATACATATGCACATGTTTTTAAAAGATGCAGGAATTTGATAGAGATTTTAAAGAATGAATAGATTGGTATACCAATAAAAATTCGCAAGAGAAATTTTGGAGAGATGTTAAGAACAGAATGGGCGATATCAAGTTCCATTTTATGAAATGTTCTAGGGATAGCAAGATGACTGAATTGGTTAAGAAATATTTAGTTAAAAAAAAACATATAAAACAAAAAGGTTCAGTTAAATACCTGTTTGCATTTGATGAAGCTTGTACACTAGTTGGTAAGAAGGTTAAAAGTAAGAACATTGAAAAAAATTCACTGTTCTATTATATTAGACATGCTTTAATTCACTTACCAAAAAAAGCAGGTATTTTTGCAGTCTTTACAGACACATATTCAAATATTTCGAACTTTTCACCTGCTTCTTATCTCGATCCATCTAAAAGAGTTGCAGAGGCTGGTTCTCAATTATTTGGCTATTTTATTTGCTAGACACTGTGGACATAAATGTCAATTTTGTTAATTTTAAAGAAGCCACAACATTAAAGAAGTTAGAAAACCTACAACATTTTTTTCAGTATGGAAGACCTTTGTAGAGTGCACTATTAATGTCTTCTAGTGATACTAAAGGGATGGAACCAGAACATATTATCGAATTGGCTATAGACAAGCTTATTGGCAGACAATTTTTCAGTATTTGAAGAAAAAACCAAATTAAAATGTTAGATACTTTGGCTATTCTAGGACCCTGTTTATATGTCAAAATAGCATCACAATCTGAATATGTGCCTTTGTATTTAAGTCTTAAAGAATCATAAATACATTGTTACAGCGATGTCTACCAAACCCATGCTAGCAAAAGCTAGTGTTCGAATAATGAATGATCTGTATATCAGCCTCATGAACTTATTAATAAGCTATTTGAAGCCTTAAAAAAAGGTATAATAGAGGCTGGTTACTGTGTAGAGCTCACAGCCAGGTTGTTACTTCTCAACACCTGAAATTGTTGCATCAAAAAAAAAAATCTTAAATGACACGAATATTAGTAAAAATTATTTTTGATTTGTGACTTTTGAAGAATTTTTAAAATCGTTATTCATGAATAATGTTTATAAGAAAATAAAGAATTGCCTTGAAGAGACAGTAAAGTTTACAGAAAGAAAATTCAGCGAAGCTTATATTAAGTTTACACACTTTATTAATATTACATATACTCTGAAAAGAAAAAATCTTGAAGATGCTCTAATTCGTGACATTGCATAATCATGTAAATGAAATCAGCAGGGAGTAGATATTATAATACCTCTATATATGGGCACTCTTGATAAAAAGTTTAATAAAGATCATATTTCATATATATTAATACAAATTAAAAATCATGCTACTAATAACAAAGGTTATAGATATTTAAAGTCTGCAACTACTTGTCTATCACCAGCTTATATAGGCATTGAGAATCTACTGTATATGCCATTTTTGTCATTGTATTTGCAATTAGGTGCAAAATCAGAGTTAGTTAAAATTTCATCAAAGTTTACTAAAACACATAAGATGATTGCATGCAAATGTAAACTTGTAAATGTATTAGAAAATTATAAAACAGATACTAAAGAAACAGGAAAAGAATTCATTAAGAGATTAGACTTGAAGATAAGGAAGCTTCAAGTGCTAAAATCAGAGAATTTCAAAAGCATTTTCAGACCTTACTTGGATTATTTGGACTATCTTTAAACATTTACAATTGCCTGACACAGTCTACACCAGTTTCTACAACCTCATCATCAGCCAAAGTTAGTAATCTCACAAATAGCCTTAAATATAAATTGTCTGCTTGAGTTGATCCCATGATAGGAAAAGATTAAGAAACTATGAAGATAGTTAAATATCTGACTCCAAAGGTATACAAAATGAAGGAGTAGTAAGATTATTAATTATAAAATTTAATAAATATGTGATAGCATGTACTGTATGTTGGTTTGGCATGTACTGTATGCACTAGTCGAAAACTAGAAATTTGACCAGATCGAATTACAATAATATTCGACAAAAAATCGGCTAATTTTTTAAAATTCAACCAATAAAAATTCAGCCACACCAAATTCTACATTAATTTGACCTAACTTAACCAAAAATTCGGCATCTGAATTTTAACAAAATTCAACCATTCTGATTTTTACATTAATTTGACCTAAATTTAGTCAAAAATTCAGAGTCCGAATTTTAATAAAATTCAACTATTTCGATTTTTACATTAATTTGACCTAAATTAGTCTTTTCTGATTTCTACATCAAAAAAAAATGACACCAAATTTTAATAAAATTTAGCATTTCCAATTTCTACTCTCAAATTCAGATGATCATTCAGCAGAATTCGGTAAGTTTGAGTTCAGTGTCCGATAGCACCAAATTCGACT